TCCTGGCACAGGCATTGGAGTTACACGACGGCTCGTTCGATTCAATTCTATTATTTTCATCAGCTGCTAAAACGAGCTTGAGAAAGCAAACGCTGCTTTCAAGGAGACTGTCCCCTCCTCCCAAGTGCCATGCAGTTCATGGCCAAAATGAGACTTCCAGGCTCCACACTCTCCTTCCATGAGGCTTCAGGCAGACACGGCTGAATTCAGTCTCTGTGAGTGCTGCCGCAGATGCAACTCATCTTGTACAAATATTTAACGAAAAACGCATTAAAGTAGTACAAGTGTGAAGTTAAGTATCCTCAGAACACATAAAATACCAGCTTAAAAGCACCATCGCATTGCCGGACGCGTCGCTGCCATCACGAGAAAACTAAATATTGAAATAAATAGAGCAGCACGCATTCCTGACTGGAGGATCTGTCCCAGATGGATCTATTTCAGTGGGGAAAAACACATTGGGAGCATTGTAGAGGCAAACAAATCGGTCTGGATTAGATGACCAGGCAGCTCACTCCTGGTATTACATTCCTCACTGCAGACAAAGGCCTGCGTACTCAGTGAAAGCCAGCGCTGGGCAGCGAGCCTCCCTGGCACACACCGGGATAAGGCAGCCCTGCCAGTTATCCCTGCCAGGGTTACAGCTTACATGGAAGCACAGCCAAAGGCTCAGCAATTAGGTACGTGTCGGTGTGACCGACGAGCTGAAGCGACCACAGACGCTGCAGAAGAACAGCCACATCTGGATGTGAAATGCTTCTACTGAGCACACGTTCCTGCACACCACTGGGGTGGAAAAGGGCTTATTCCCACCCGCAGTGCCCACCTGTAGCAGTCTGCAGCTGTTTGTTTCATGGAGGAGCTCCAGCAGACAGGAGTCTGTACTCCTACAAACAGTCTTGTGTCACCCATGCCTTCCTGCAGCGGCAGCATCTTAGAAATCGCCGGTTGCTTTTTCATCCCTTAAAATAACTGAGTGATTACAAAGTGACGGATGTACTTACACACAAAGATCTAACCAAAAATATACAAATGCTCTCTGATACATTAACAGGATTACTTAAAATAAAAGCATGTTCCTTGGGCTTCAAAAGCAGTGAGAAACAAAACCCACCCACCCCCTCCCCAGTGATGGACTTGAGGTGGCTAACGAATCTGCCAGAAAGCACTAACTCGCCTCGTTTCAAGAAATCAGGTGTATTTTTGATAGATAAGTTATATTAAATTTGTAGAAAGTGTTAGCACAAAGCATTTTCAGGTTTATTTAAATAAAAATTATAATTTATACAAGACTTTTTAAACAAACAAGATTTTCTTAAAAAATTTACAGGGCAAATCATTTCATTATTTCAATTCTTCATACAGTATAAGTCTGTTGTCAAACAAAAGTTACACTGATAATGAATTATTTACAACTTCAAAATATAGACTCAAACTTCAGACATAAAAATTTTAACATCCATTATATTTCAATGATTAGTAGAAATTAAACATCTGCCAAAATGTACAGAGTTCAATAAAAACTACCAGTGTTTTTAATACAAGTTTAAGTAGCCAAAAAAAAAGTACATCCTTTCATCTCTTCTTTTTGTCTGCAGGAACAAGGGTAGGTTCTGCTGCTGGCATCCTGTGTGATGTTGCTACTAATAAATAGCTTGTTTCATTCAATCTTGCCTCACAAAAGCTACAGTGCACGGAAAGGCATGATTTCATATTTCAGCTTTTTTTTGCCTTTTGAATTTAAATGGTCACGGATAAAGAATTAAAGCAGTCAGTTTTCATCTCCCTTTTTTTTTTTTTTTAACTCTTTAAAAGGGACTCAAACTAACCAACAAACTTCTAAAGAAGTTAAATCCAATTACACGTGAATGATCCAGCAATGAACCACAGACGCCAACAGAACTGCAAACATAAACAGCGAACGGACAGACAGAATGACAGGAACATCACTTTCTGCTATCAGAAAGTAGCACTTTACATCAAGTGGTATGACCCGGCCTGTTACTGAAGTACAGCAGGCTATACTGCAAAACTATGTAGGCAGATTGGAATTTAAGGTGAACTTCAGTGTAGTTACACAAGTCAAGTGTACATTTACTCACTGTCCATCCCCTCCTGCCCTCCAAACCTGTGAGGGTGTAGCAGGAGGAAAAGCACAGGAGTACCTGCCCGCAGACGCACTGAGGTTTATCTTCTAGTGTCTCTGATGTTACGTACACGACAGGAGCAGTTATGTAGCAGGAACCTGGACAGCCCAATGTAAAGTGAACTTTGCAAAATATGTACACAGATGTTTGTTAGTTATATTACAACTCTATTTTAAAAAAAAAAAAATCCAGTCTGTTTTCTATATGTTAGAATGAAACAATGTTGCATTGCAGTTTGCGCTAGGTTTACTGCTTTAAGAATTGCTAATTTTTACGTTCACACTGTTAAAAGTGCGGATTAATTTCAAATGTCAACACACTAGATTTTATAATAAGTTTCTAATTTCCTTCTCCAGAAAAAAAAAGCATTTAAGAGCATATTGTACGCATGAGGCATTTCAGTCTGGGAAAAGGATTACAGCTTCTTTTCTCCCTCTCCAAAGCCTAGGTATGGTTAATTGTCCTGGCACCATCTGCATAGGACCTATAGCTCCTCTCGGAACCAGAATCTAGGACAACCCTACCTACTAGGGTCAACCAGTGAAGGGTGGGACGGGAAGGAGGTCATAAGTGCAAGTCAACTGATTTCCTACTGAAACTGCTGTTATGATCAGAGTGAAGGTATAAATTACACTTGAAAAATGATACAAAAATAAGAAAAAGAGCATGCTCTCTGTAAAAAATATAGTTTTCTGTTTCTTCAAAAAAAAGGATAACCTCAAACACACCCAAGGGATTTCTTTTCTTAAGACAAAACAAATGAATCTGATTAAGATTTCTATAACATTAAGCGATTTTAATGCCTATTTGTTAGCCACACTTAGTATTCAGGGAAGCTTCTAGAAAGGAAAGCCAAATGATAATAGATTAATTGAACTTAAAGTAGGTTTGATGAGAAAAATTTAAGATGAAGGGTCTTCCTTAAACATAAAACCTGCATGTGTAAAGTGAAGAAACCATAAACTGTCAAGCTACACCCATATTAGACGGTGGCAAAATGGATCTCCCTCCAGCTTCACTTATAAGTTTTCAGACCCTGTGTTACACCATACCCAAACAGGTGTTAGAAATGCACCCCTTTCTCAGGTCATGTAAAGACACGTTCAAGTGCTACTCTAAAGGGAGAACTCAAAAATAGTATTTCAGTCATTACGGTGGATTCTCCCCTGTTCTTGTTCACGTTTCCACCCACGGCACAGAGTTTTACCCCATCACTGTTTCACTTTATAATACCCAACCAAATCACAGTATTCAACAATATTTCTTCATATCAAGTTCTTTGTATCATCCCTCTTCATGGCCAGACTGAAATAAAGTTTGTACAGTTTGACTGTCACCTTTTTCATTACTGCTGCATTTGTTGAGAGACTTTAATTAAATTCTGTGCTGAGTTGAACACCCTTTGGTGTTTGTCTCCCCTCTCCCTCCTTCATTTTACCCCTTTCCCTATAAAGAAAGAAATTCCAGTTTAAAAAAAAAACAAACCCAAAAACAACTGAAAAAAAAAAATCCATGAAATGAAGTCCCATTTTTACACAATGATCTGCATCTCCTTTGCTTTTTTGGGGGACATTAATATAATGTCTGGAGACATCTATAACACTCAACTCAAACGACACGGCAAAGGAAAAGACACACTGGAAGGCCTGGCGTAACTCCTACTGTGCTTTCGTGAAAATGCAAATAAAATTCTAAACCTCTCAGATGGGTGCCATTATATAGAGTAGAAAAGCTTTCTAATACTAAAGACAAAGGTCAATATGTGCTTTGCTGCTAGAAATGCCTGAGAGAGTTTAGAGAAGGAGCACAGCCTTCCTGTTTCAGCTGGCAGTTGGGTTTAATTGTTACTAACATTTAATTTTGCAAGGAGAAAGACAGCAACATATCAATGCCCCTCAAATTATGCTTTGAAAAGGAACTAGTGCTTTCAGCTGCTATATTATAGTGTTTTTTTATTACAAGGTAACTCAAGAGAAAAGTCAAATTAAAAAAAGTCGTGTCTCAGTTTAGTTTCATTATTCCCACCTTCCCCAACACAAAAAGCCTGCGAGTCCTTAATGCATTAACATACAAACACCTTGTACATACAACATGTACAACAGTTGAGCCCTTCTATGACAAGTATCTACAGAAATACAAATACACGATGCCTAACATTTTAGGAACAACATTTTGGTGCCCTCTTTTATAAAAAGTATCTGCCTGCCTTCCCTCCTCTTGCTTTGGTTAATCAGGAAAGGAAGATATAGTTACAAACTTTCTCCTCCAATTCACTGTACAAGCAATTCAAATGTCTGTGCTGGAAAAACTGAACCTAACCAAACCAGGAAAATATCCTTCTGCAATGCAAGAACTAGCAAGAAGGAGTTATTTTAAGTGCAGTTATAAATACGGAAATACTAAGATGATAATACTTCCTCAGTGTTGCTATCAGTTTTAATAAAGAACCCAATTAAAAAATCAGAGCTGAAGAAAGAGACTTCAGGCTGCTGCAGTCATCATTCTCACACCTCGGGGAAAAACTAAGATAAAGGGACCAATGTATCCCTAGTGATACCAGTGGAGTCAAAGGGATCAACAATCTGTTTCACTTTGTTAATTTGTCAGTTCTCCAAGTACCTTCCCAGCTTTTAATGTCAGTAAATAAACATTAAAAGTGCTTAATGTGCAAGGCTAATAGTGATGATAGCACTTTCAACTGTTTTGTTTCATTTTGTTTTTTGTTTTCTTTTTTTACAAAAACCTTAAAAACAAACATGAAGGCCTATATAAAATACACTCAATTTATGTAACAGATAGAATATAAACCACCAGACAAGAAAAATTATTGCAAAATAGATGAGGATGTTCATTTTTTTCACTACCAAGTTGTAAAATAAGAAATTTTCCATTAGATCTTCTAAGATAAGATACTAGCTCTCACTGCTTGATGATGCAGAGGTTATTTTCACATATTGGTTGAAAATTGTCTCGAAAGCTTCATCTCTGTGTACCATGGCACCAAACACTAAAGGCTAAATGACAGAAAAAAAAAAGATCATGTCAGTGTGGAAAAGAAAAATCTTCCTTTAGGTATAGTTTTGGCCAAATCAATATGAACAGGAGATGAACTGTACTCAAAGTGCATTAACAAAGACATAAGAATATTTTTTCTGTACTAAATCCTTGGATATATGGCAGAGTTTCTAAGATTTTTTCACTCCTTCACGTTCTTAAAACAACCATGGCATAAAATGCATCTGCACAGAATATTAGCAATCGAGAACACTTTGACTCTCCTCTCCATCCACTCAGTGCATGATGTCTTCCTGATTGACCTCTACCCCCATTAAAGATTTCTAAAAATCTTTATCAGTGCCTTTTTGTTTCAGCTCATATAATATTTATTTAGGCAGATGAACATTTTCAAACTCGTAATTAAGAAGTACTTTTCAATATCAAACAACAGCAGAAAGCCTGGTACAACAGTTGTGTGACTTAGAGAAAAGTTATTTATAGGTGATTAGTTTAAAATCAGGTTCAGTCATATGTTAAGAGGAGCTTCAGTTGCCCAAAGGGTAGTTGAGGCTTAGAGAAGCTTAAATCTTTACCATAGCAGACTGAAACAGGAAAACTGCATCGGAGGGTCGGGCCCTTCTACCCCAAAGCCTCCGTGCCCACAGATACTCTCAAGCCATCAGCCTTTCATTCCAGGCTGCAGAGCAGAGCAGCCCCCATGCTCCGGATAGAGGATGCTGAGGGAATGGTCAATGGAGGTAATGAAATAATGGAGCAAATCTTTGTTATAGTTAAAATACTCCAGATGCAGAAGAACAAGCTAAATATTTAAATCATTAAAATTCTGAAGCCAAATACACTGAATAATAGACAAGTGAATTTTTTATTAAAAAAAAAAAAGCAAGCCATGCACTGACATAAGGGGAAAAAAAATCCACATAAACTTTTCCTTCTCTGGCTAGCACCAGCATAAGACAAAAAGGGCATGAAGTCCAACACAGCAATACAGATACAGCTAGCTACTTACTTTTTGTGTAGATGGTGTTGATACAGCAATACCCATCCCTGATCCCGGGAGAACAGAGAGCACTTTATACTGAAAAGAAAAAAACAAAACACACAGACCAAGGATACCTTATGTACTGAACTGCTGCAAAAGGTGCTGAGAAGGTTACACATCTCATCACTGGTGTATCCTCCCAGACACAATGAACAGACATCTACTACTAACAAGAAGAGGCCAGACACTGTCCTCTCACCCTGGAGTCAACGGGCACAGCATCACTCCTACAGCAAGAGCCTGCCTCTCTCTTCTTCCTCCCACGTGCTGTGGAACCCATCCTGCCTGCTGGATCCATCCCCGGCCCCAAACCGAGAACCCCGGTACTGCTACGGCGTGTGGGAACTGGCCCAGCCATGATGCCAGGGACCAAGCCAGCAGCTGGATGGTGCGGCAGGTAGGACAGCCCAGCCCCACGTGTACACATACACGTACGTGAGAGTGTGCCTGTGAGTGTCACCTCCTACAAGTAACATTTGCTCACTGTTTAAAGGAGCAGCAAGCAGACCAGAAAAAGCTGCTTTTTCAAAATCAGACAGAGTGTATATATGTTGTTTGTTTGTTTTAAAGGAAGTCCATAAGAAGGAATACAGTTGACTGAACTGGGGAATATTCCCAAGGGGGAAGAGATCCTGAGTCTGGCCTGCGTTTCCCACCCTCAAATAAAACCAGGCGCAGTACATTTTTATGCTTGGCTGCATGATCCCTGTCTCAGCTTCACTGAAAAAACTACACAGATGCAAAAGGACCCTTATGGCAGTAAAGGCCTAATAAACAACAGCATTATTTCAAGTATAATGTTTAAAATCCATCAAGATGAATTATTAATTCCAACAGGAATGTTCAAGTTGAGCCTAAGTTGTCTGGTTTATAGATATGTGATATAAATAGAAGGAATTCATTTGAAAATTGGGAGATACTTAGACACTGGGCTGAGGTATTTCTTTGCACAACATGATTTAATCTGTGGCACCCAGGGCCACAGGATGTGAGTAGAAAACAGGGGTGTCTGCGTTTAAGAGTAAGACAAGTTAAGAGAAGGTAACAGAAAGCAACATTAAATGCCATATAGAGTGCTGCAAGGCACCAATAAAACCATCGGTGACTGCAGGCTGACAAAACGTGACCAGAGGAAGGATCACATTGTATTTGCCATGCTTCCAACCATCCACTACTTGCCTCTGTTAGTGATGGGATCCCAACCACGGGAAACTCCAGCCTGATCCAGCCTGGCTATTCATCATTTACCTTGCTCCACTAACAATAACCCCTCTTCCCTCTGAGGCATCTACTTTTAAGATGGTTCATCTACCGATATCAACACCCAAACTGAAGTTAATATTACACAATTCTTGCTAACAATAAATCTTCTTAAAGCCTACACAGCTCTAGTCAATGCAGGAATTAAGAAACAACACAACTTAAAAATTAAAATAATTTACAAATGTAAGGGTTTAGCAAACTACTTTGTTTTTATGCTCATAGTGAGCTTGCTTATCGTGAGTTCAAATGGCTAAACAAGCTGTTCTGGGAAATACGTTGGATCAAAGAATTACATTTTACTTATAAAAATGATAAATGGCATGCTTTTTCAAAATAACGTAAGCAGAAAAGCAGAACATGACTAGCTGAACAGAAAACCAGCTTTCTCCCCTATTTGCAACCCAAAACAGACTTACCTTCTGAATATCTGTTATATCCGTTAGCTTTATAACTTTATTTCTTTTAGATGAGCCGGATTTGGAGCTTTCAAAGCACAAGTAACTGAAGACAGGAAAAGAAAATGTTAATTTCAGACAGTATTCTAAAACAAAGCTCTAGATATCCCTCCTGTCACTTCTGAAGTTTGAAATCTTACAGATTAAAATAAGCTTTAAAAAAAAAACCAAAGAGGCACACAATATGCAATTCAGTTATGTTTTCTAATTTAGAGCAAATATTCATAAATTCTAGCAACTGGCTAATGTGTCTGAAAGCCTAGAACACACGGCATGCACACACAAAAAAGTCTTGTATTTTTATTACTGCACTGAACGGTTTAACCTGACAAGCATTTTAAACACACAGGAAGCACATATATCCTTAAAGGGCTGAAGTACCAAATCTCAAAAAGCTTATAAATATTTTACCATCTTAAAAGAAGATTAATGGAAAACACTGTGTTAGTGTCATGTTGTTGCGATGCAGACAAAAACTCAGATTTCTAAATGCTGAAGAGTGGTCTCCATCACTAGGTGACATTGCATACAGATGAGCTTCACTTCCATTCATTACATTCCAAAGGAATTTCGGTGCAAGACCCAAACAGAAGTGACAACAGTTATTCAGCCCTGGGAGGCTGAGGGTTAAGTAAGGATTAAGAAAATAAAAATTAAGTACTCGTTTTGAAACCAAGACTTGAATTTCTATTTTCTTTTTGTTGCACATTGTTTCAAGGGAGCTATACATTCAATTTGTTTTAAAAAAAGAAACTAAGAGTATTTGCCAAATAAGCATTGATCACAAGTCTCAAAATACACTTAGCTTTTAGGATTTTTTTTTAAGTGGATAGATAGACAGATAGATAGATAGATAGATAGTATGTCATCCACATCAAGAACTGTGGATACTAACAACTGACTACACAGAGCTACTCTCCATTCCTATGCAAGCCTTTCCAAGGCAAAAATCACATTTGTTAAGAGTTACCACACCCCAGATTCAGTTCTCCCTCTCCTACGGTGCTTTCTTGAGGTTTTAAAGCACCAGGAAAAGGCCTTTTTGTTTCAAAACATTGTTAAAGGATTACTTTTATATTCAACGTTTTTTCACATTGGTTGCATTTCCCTTCTAAGAAATGTGTGTAGCGCAACGACTCACTTTTCTGTGACATAAAGAACTCCATTCCTGATGTAGTCTGTAGGCATCTTTCTATCTCTGTTAATCAAGCAACAGCGCCAGCCATTTTCACACACTGAAAAAGTCATAAAAAGAAATCTTACTTTAAGAGAGAGACAGGCGTTACCCCCAATAGTTTCCATATTAAACAACAGAAAACACTGAAAATTAAACTTTAGATACCTAAAACTAGAAATGTTTACAAATAAAAGCCTAAATAAGGTGGTTTTAGACATCATAACATCTGTTTTAACATTGATTTTAAAAAAACCCAAAACAACACAAAACCCAAAAACCACCCACACAATTATCCCCTCTAACTTGACTACTTCATTTGCATCACCATAAAAGACAGGCCAGGCTGCGCATTCTTTCAAAGAACTGTATAAATGTGGAATGAAAGAGACTGTCTCCATTCATCCTAATTTAATGCAAGTCTTTTTAATCAAAAGCTTATACCAGTACATTGCACAGAAAGGGAATTCAACTTTAAACTATCCTTGGCTTTTTAGAAAATACTAATGTAGCCTCCCTGTTGCACGATACCTGCCAAAGGACGCTCATTTTCCGACAGGTTAAAAACTTCATGGAAATTCCCCCTCTTGGTGGTATGAAAACGACTTGTGTCTTCATCTTTGCTTATTCCGGTTGGGGCACTTGAGCCCACGTAACTTCTGGATGCTGCTGTTTGAAGCTGCAGAAAAATAAACACAATTCCAAAATTTGAACAGCAACATTTAAGCTAGGCTCTTAGAAAGAACTTGGCTAACTATTCTTGCTAAAAAAAAATACAATAAAATCTGTAACACAACAATTTTCATTAACTACTTCAATAAAGTTAACGTGGACTATTGCACTACACTATTGCTTTAATACAAAGCTCTAATGTGCTATCTGAAGATCATATTTCAAAGTGCTGCCTTTGATGGATGCCCTTTGCAGGGGCAAAAGCACATGGTGCTAGATGTACCTATCTTAAAATACTATTTTTCTACAGTAAAGAGTATATCTGATTAGATACAGCTAAGTCACTGCACACAACTCCAATTATTATACTAGTGAAACTAATAACAGTTTATGTATTATCAATACTTGGTTTGTCTTCAAGAGACAGACCAAGCATAAACTATCATTACACAAAGTAAGGTTAGAAAGAAAAAAAAGAGCAAACAAAAAAAAAGCCACACAAAACTACAGCAGCTCATTAAGAACACGTATGCTGAAATTGAAAGGAAGTTTTCCACGCTACGATCCATACCTTTTCATGCCCTGACAGCTAGCAGGAAAAGAAACAAACAACACAAATGTGACAGTGACAAAAGAAAAAAAGTGAAGTCTATTTAACAGTATAATACATAGAATAAAACATGAACTGAGTGAAGCTGCAAGATCTTGCTCACAAACCAAGAGACTATACACAATGAATGCAATTAAAAAAAGAAGAGTTATCAGTGGTTAGAGCACACCAATTTATTCAGGTTCCGTTAGAGCCATTGATCTTTCCTTTGCTTTGAAGATGCACTGAATTTTGAGCGTTGACATGCGAAATAAAATCAGAATGCTTGTCAGCATCCTTAGGGAGGGAAAAAAGGTAGCATGGAGTTCTCAAAACCAAAGTACTTGAGTAAAATCTACTTTTAAGCAGAGCTCCTGAACCACTGGAGACTGCCCTGGCAAACAAGCTTTGCTTCTGGAAGGACAGCAGGCTGTTTCTTTCAGAAAGCTTGCTTGCGTTTGCTTTTTCATCTTGGTGGGGCACCACACGATTCCAAAGGCTAGCTTCTGTCGTCGAAGCACTAACAGCTCCGTTCTTAGTCCTACCGTACACACGTAGTTAAACAACTGGCAAACTGACAACATGCAAGCTCAGGACTAAGCCCTTCTTCTGTAAAGGCCCGATGCTCTTGGAGGCCAACCAGCCTCCGCTTTTTTATTTTTCCATGTCAGTTGGCAGCACTTAACACTTTGCAGGATTTAGCGCTAACAAAAGAAATCCAAAGCAAACGAAAAACCAGACTGACAAAACAGGCATGACAGAGGGTATTTACCATCCAGCTTTTAGGGTAACTGTAATACAACGATGCCTCGGGAGAAAAGAATAAAGAAAGTTGACATGGAAAGCAAATGGCTGATGATAACTGTACTCTTGCTTCAGTTACTGCCCCTCTGCTGTGCCCTTAGCAACGATCAGGCCGCTGGAGCCAAGGGAAATAACAGCTTCTCCAACAATTTGTGTGCAAGTGAAGATTAGATGAATTTTTGGAAGTCTTTCTTGGACAAGTTATTTGGCTCCATATGCACGTAAGCAGGTGAAGGTCCATGGCCCAAAACATACAAAAGGTCAGGGCAAGAGATCTAATGGTTTTTGCACTGAAACGAGGATTATTCCTGCTTTCTGCTACACTACCTCCTACCTACCTGTTTATGTAAAGAGATGGAAAAAAAACGTCTTTAAACTTCAGTACAACATCCCACACAGCAGCTCAAGATGCAAGAAAGTTCTGCCCTTACTTCTAGTCCCTCTTAAACCAGGCAAATGTTTCCTCTACCCTTAAAAGAAGCAGCTAATTTATCCATAACCACGCAGGCTTGAGACAACCTATGGTCCATTACTAAAAGAAAAGCATTGCATCCAATTTTGATAAGACTTAAATCTAACTGGAAGTGATTGGATTTGTAATGCTGGAAGAGTCTTGACTGTCTAAAAACGTCACCAACAACCTGGGAGGTAGGAATACCTGGAGGTATTCCTTTTCACTTCATCTGTCATCAGCTTTTGACATACAGCCTTTACCCATCAGATACCCTTGTCAGGATTGTTCTCTAAGGACACGGGGCCATTGAGGGTACAGGCAATGAATATTGCATTTTGTCTAGGTTTACGGTGTCTTGTACGCTGTTTAATGACAAGAAGCCAAAGCAAATGCACGTATGCTGGCACGACATGCTTTCGCACTCTGCCTTTTCTATTAAAAATCGATTTTGTTCTATGAAAAAAACCCCAAAAAATCTATTTTGGTTTTACTTTTTTTGTACAAAAATCTATTTTTCACACTATGAGGTTCCCAGAAATCTCTCAAGGGGTAAGAAGGTCTGTCTAAAATTATTGAGACCAACTTAATGTTTTCAAAGACATTTGGAAGCAGATAATGCAGTCCTGCACATCCTTTCCAGGCAGACAAGTCAAGCTCATCAAGTCAGACACAGCAGTACTAAAACCCTAGTCTACTTATCAAAACTTAAGCCATAAGGAAGAGCCAGAAGGGAGAATTACTCTCTAAGTTTATGGATTCAAGTTCAGCAACTCAGAACCTTTCCACCTCTAAGGCAGATTAGAGATGTCCAGCAAGAAGCTGCCATAACCATCACAGTATGTGAACGATAACCTGTAAGTTCGAGAGGCACAGAAACTTTGAAGATCATCTTCTGCAAGCAAGAGAGACGCAGGCTATGGACGGCTCTGTCCAAGTGCTCATTCACCTCTCTCGTCCCTTGGCAAATAGGAGCAAAAGACTCACTTTCTGTCAGAGGCTTTCTCTGCTATTTCCTTCTGAAATACTCAGATGACACTGTAGTTATTTTACCGACAACTGCTCCATCACCCCCAAAACCCCACACTACTACTCCTTTTTCACAGGTTAAAAACTGAGGGTTGACGTGTTTATTGCTTTTGCTCTCCAGTTGTGTACCCAGGCTGCATTATTGCTAAGTGCTGCACGTTTCACTCAGGGAGCTTCTGACAGAACTCAGATAGTCCATGAACGCAATTAGATATTGTGATAAGAGGCCTTAAGCCAATGCTAAAATGGGATTAGACTGAAGTTTTATTACAATTATTTTTATTCTTAAACTAATAAACATCAACAAATTCAGGGATATGGAAAAGCGTGACTTGCTTTTCAGTTATCATGGCAGGCCCCAAAACAGTTTGCAGAGATGCACAAACTATGAGATATTAATAAAAGAAAAATTTACTGTTGGAGTACCAACATGGAGAATAGCCATTTGTCACCACTATGTGAAAAAGTCACCTAATACAAATAACTGTAAGACATAATGCCTAAATCTGTAAACTACTTTATTACCTCTGCTAATGCTTATCCCTTTAGTAAGCTGCATATTATTGTCAAGCTTTTATTTATTTTTTTTTAACTAGCTGTTCTTCAATCTACACAAGTATCTGAATTTCCACTGAAAAAGAACGTCTAAGAACAGAGAAGGGGAATACAAAAAGACTAAATTTGGACAATAAAATCACATAGAATGTATGTTACAGAAATTGATATGAATATGGATGGTGCTATTTTTGTGTGTTTAGCTACATACAATTTCTAGTATATATATTCATATACACACTTCGATAACAGATTCCTTTCATACAAGAAACATAATCCATCTAAAAACTCTTTGGATTTTGAAAATAATAAAAAATAGAACTAACATTGACTGTTAGGATTTAATTAACCTTCCCTTGAATGTGCTCTAGTCACTGGGGAGAAGGGAAAGGGAGAAAGGGATCTGACTTTCAGATGTTGAGAACAGAGGGACAAAAAGATTTATTACCCTTACCCGTCTCGACACTGTAGCATTAGATCTTTCTTTGAGCTGAGGATCTGTTGGGAGACTTGTCCAGATGATATAAGGAGTATCATACTTAGCTCTTAGTCTAGGGCATCGTTTGAAGATAAAATCAATAAGGAAAAACTTGATTCCAGCATAGAGTCCTGAAAAAAAGGTCACTTCAGTATGCGTGCTGAAAGGGCATGAAGAACATCACTGTTTTGATCATGTTTTAACAAGTTCATGAATTAAACCAAATTCTGTCTCTTCGGTCATAGTGCTAAATCATTCTCTTGGTTTTAATATTTTGATTCTTCTTCTAAAGACAGAGAACTATTTTTCTTTTCCTCCCCTGCCCAGATTCCTTCCTCATCATCCCCAGGTTCTTTTAAACCACTTATTATGCAGAAGAACAATAAAATAATTCAAACATACATTCCTTATTACCAGAAGCATTCTGAAAACATGATATACTTTCAAAACAGAAAACATGCCAGAGCACTCAATTCTGCAGCTCCTTGCAAGAATTTAAATGGCAACAGAGGGCTCTCATGTACTACATTAAACTCTGTCTTCCAGTGCAGTATGTCCTCTTATCTCATACAAGTTATTTCCTTGCATTCTGCCAGATTAAAAAGGGGCTGAAATACTCTCTCAAAACATTAATTAATGCAATTCAGATCTCTTTCTAAGAGTCAAAGTAAAAAAATAATTCTTCACACATCTAATTTACAGCCATGTCAAGCAAACCTACGTTTATGTTCAAGCCAACACAATTTGAAGTTCACTGCCACTAAAAGTAATACTCATTTGACTATATCACTACTTTAACAACCAAAAAAAAAAAAAAAAAAGAGAATTCTTGATTCACAGGACATGGCTTCATATCTTAGAGAAAAGACAGTCTCACACTGTAGCAAGGACTCTCTTTTCCCAATTTCTGCAACTTCACCCACAGTAATCTGTTCATTTCATCCAGCCTATCCTCCAAGTTTTACAAGTAATCCCATTAACCTTTTCAGTTTTTTCTAACCCTGTCACCTTTGTGCCTTCTATGTGGTCCCACATATATAATTTGCAAGGATGTACGAGTGAAAAAAACCCAAAATATAGGGCTTCCCAGAAGCCTTATAGCTGACTGTCTGAAGACCTCTGCTAACAGCTCATCATAAACTTTCCCTCTTCAAGAAGGAGCAAATGCATTATCCAGTCTTTTTCTATTATATTATGTATCCAGAGATCGTTTTCGAAATGCACATGATGAATGATGCCAAGCACAATGAAAATACTTTAAAAGACCATGTTATTTATTAATGTAGAGTTTTCTTTCTTAAACTCTAAAATTCTCCCTCTAAGGATCACGTTAAGTTTTAGCATGTTAAGTCTTGACTGTAACAGCTCAATTATTCATTGTGTTTACCCATTGCAAGCCCAATAATCCTGTAGGGCAAAAAGCAGGATGCAATAAAAGCTGCCCATAGAGCAACGTAGAGTTTCTGTGTTATTTCTGGCTGGACCCACATGAACAAGCTGAAAACAAAAAAGAAACAAAATTTTATTACTAGAGTTCCAGATATTGGTCAAGTCTTGTTTCAAGAGGAAAAAAAGACTCATGTCAGCTAACTTACTTTTTAATTTTTTCCAGTATGTCTGCCATCTTGCCAAAAAGGTTCTGCATAAGAAGCAAGAGAATTAAAACCAACCTGCATTATTTTGCTTTTTTGTCCACATAATAGAAACCAACAGTTATCTTACTTTGTTGGTAATAAGCAATTCATCATTTTTTTTAAACTTACTTTTAGCCATTTATGCACTTCACAGTTGAGAAAATAAAGAACAGAATAGCAACATTCGACGACTTCCACCTCATTTAACACCTTGTTCTGTAACTCGCGATTGATTGTTAGAAGTGAAGAAGCTATCTGACCCCTCTGTCACGACTGGAAAGTGTTTACATCACTGCAGAATTTTAAATTAAGCTGTTGATCTAAGAGTTAAGAGCTTCTGTCAGTAGGTAACAAAAAGGGAAGTTTCTTCACACATTTTGAGCACTGAAGTGTCAGGAAGTGGTTACTGAGTTCATCAAATGTTGTACGGTTAGCTTCTTTGGAAACACACTACTACTGAGTTTTTAAAATACACCCAAATACACCCTTCGAGTTACTAGATTCCATGTAGTTCCAACAACTATTGATGCAAACTGACTTCTGCTCAGGACTAAGCGGGTTATTCAGTCATCTCCTCTGACCAATCTTTCCTGTTGCAGCACCTGTAAATTTCACCTTCCCAATAAATTTCCAAAGGTGTCCATATAAACATATGCACCGCCACCAGTAGAAGGAATACGAGTGCACACAGCTGGCCAGAGAAAGGTACGTTACTTCCAGCAGCAGCACATCGTTGGACATGGCACAAGGCTGCAGTTCAACTGGATGGTGGTGTCACTCAGCTGCTAGGGTAGCTCGAACTGATGGAGCTGGGAGAAAACCTTCCTTCACCCTCTCCCACACAAGCAGATTTCAGGGCTGGCAGCGGGGGTGGTGTTGTTTAAAATAGGCTATTTCAGAGATGCTGTACAAACTGTTGAGTTAACACAGTTAAACGGACAGTAGCCTTCAGCTAAATCTTGAAGGAACAGGGTCTCCTGTTATGGAGACCTAATATGGATCCACACTCCAGTACATTGGTTAAGATTTTCCACCTGATCTACATTATCCGAAGCTCATATGCATATATTAGGGGAAAAACTGTTAGAAGCTCCTTCTGTTCCCCTCCAGACCTCGCTCAGAGCCGTGACTGGAGAACCTCAACCAGTTCTCTGAAGCACCGTAGCATTTCAGAAGCTCCAAGAATCTTGCTGAGATCTCTACTGCTCCTAGGTAAAGATCCCTATGCAAGGAAAGCATTGCTTGTCTGAGTGTTTGTTTTCACATGCCGCGTAACAACGCCCTTTGACCGCTTGGACTATGAACCTCCTTGTTTCTAAGGAAGCAGTCAGAGAGGTCTGAGAGCAGCACAGTACCTGCGCCTTCTGAGCCACGTCTAGAACAAGCTGAAACTTTTCAGACACGGTCAGGTCCTCTTTTGGGGGTTCCTTGGGCAAGAAAGAGACAATCCATTAATTTTCAGCTCAGCTAAAACCGGTATTTTACAGAACTTGTGACAAGGGGACCCCTGAACATTCTTGGCAACAGTCCTCTCACTTCAAACAGTCTCTAAATTTCTGAAAACAGAAATAAATTCCTCCCTTGTTTCAGATCTATTGCTTATGTCTTTTGTTGCCAGTTATCTTTAGTTCTCTTTTCCTTCATGGTATGTGCAAACATACTAATATGAGGCTGTTAAAGACTGAGGCTGCTTTGGAGCAGCACAGTTACCATGGCTTTCAGTCTATGACCACATGCTTAAACTGACCCATTTCTGGTCTAGCACAGAAATACCATTTTTTTTTTTAGAAGATTTACATACAGAACTTCATAATTTATTTATTTAAATAGATTATTGGCTTCTTAAGAGTAACAAAATTACCCTGGAAGCAAAGCCTTACTAAGTCTTAGTAAAAGGCTTGAAATTCAAAGAGCTCCACCTTACATTAACACTTAAAATGCTTCCTGCTTAAAGCAGAGTAGACAAACATTAATTTGAAAACGTTAAAGAAAACAGAATGCAAGGCTTGCAAGGCTTCTTGAAGATCCCACAGGATCTAACTTGACCCAGGCTGGCATATTAACATTGATTCCAGAAACGTGGTTCAGGTTTGGAATACTTTAGGGTGAAATACCCAAACTTAAGAGTGCTGTTAGTGAAGATTTCTAAATTGCAAAAGAAAGAAAAAAACCCTGTGGTGTCTTTGTTTGCACCTCACTCTTCCTTCCTTTCACAACTACCCACATAAACACAGAAGAAGGTTTTAAAGGTGCAACTTTTAATGCAGGCATACAGGACAAGCTGATCAAAGACCTACCATGGGTTCAGAAACTTCAGGCACAATGCTCCACTGTATTCTCCAACCCCTAGAAGTTACGGAAATAGTTAAAGAGAGCAAGCACTTCTTCTCCACCTGCCAACATGGATTATTTGTAAGAGGTTAAAAAGCAGTTTTCTGCAATGAGCACTTATGGCTTAAAAAGATAGTAAAATAATCCCCAAATCAATGAAGAACCCAAACATAAAAAAAGTACAAGTGGCCAACCACAGACAGCTTCAAAAGTATATACGTTTTAAAAAAAAAAAAAAGAATTGGCTAGGTAGATACTAGATAGAATCACTGCTTGTGAGTTTTAAAAAAAAAAAAGTAAACTGTGTGCACAGAGTAAATAATTAAGAATTTTTTCTTTTTTTTTTTTTTATGTGAACAAGATCACATCAACTTATTCAGTTGCCTATTTTCTACCAGTGGTTTTCAGAGAATAAAGTGTTAGACAGTAAGTACCAATTAAGAAGTCAGAAAATATGCACATTAAGGTCCTCTCCATCATTTTAAGCAGGAAAACACCATCAGCCTAAAATAGCATTTTAAAAAGACCCTCTCAGTACAGAAAGAAAACGTACATTAAAAAAAAAAGTCTTAATTTTTAATAGAGACTGAATTTACAAATGGAAGATACTTTGGATAAAGTGAAAATACTGAAAAAGGCAAAACTGCAGTTTTAGGCCTAGGTGAAAATTCTCTTCAAGGAAAAGCAGCAGCTTCAATATTTAAGGTGACATTCTCCAATGACTCTGAATGTTGCGGAATTTTATTTTAGAATTTCAGCGTGCTGAGGGGTTTGTCTGAGAGCATGCAGCATTATTTATGACGACCTAAGTCACAGGACATGAAGATAATTCCTTAGAATAGTCAAAAATTATAGAAATTGAGCAATGAAATTAAGGATATTAGAGTTCAAATTTCACTTTGTTAGACTTAAATCACAATGTTAGAAAAGGTAACAGTTCACAAATCAATGCAAGGATAAAAAAAGCATCTTTCAAGCAACGTGCTACAAGAGAATAATCTAGTATTTAAGTAAATACCTGGCTATGAGGTAATTTAGGGACAACCTCAAAATTGCTAAAAATAAGAACATAGGAATGGCCCAGCCATGCCATACAGCATTCATGTAAATCTGCAGATTAAGAAAGAAAAAAAAAAAAGAAAAAAAAAGAAAAAAGAGAGATGTGTATTACAAACTGGAGTACAGCAGTGAGTTGCATGAAATACCGTTTCCCACTGTACTGTTGGGTTCAGAATCATGCAATTGAGATCACAAACACTAATAAATTTTAGCCAACAACAGCACTGCATTCATGAATGTAAAGTTGAAACTAAAACTGAACCAAATCTCCAGAGATGACACTTAACCTGTTCTCAGCTGCTTGAGAGAGAGCATAGAGTATTTCCAACACTGCAATTACATGAAGGGGTAGAGGGGAAGGGAAAGTAAACCCTAAAGTCTGTGAATCTGCTGTATGACCACGATACAGTTTAACCTCACCTCAGGCAGCTGAAGCAATGGTACAGTAGAAGAGTTACAACAATTAGCCCCATACAGGGCAACAGGATAAACTCTCACTCTATTATTTCAGGTGAATTAAATCTCAATTTTTCATCAAGCTTAAAAAGATTGCAAGACGACAGGTTTTATTTTACCTAACAAGTACAAACACAGTGCCTCAAAAGGTATTCTGTTTCCTTTCCAGCTTCTGAAAATACAGAGACTACAGCCTCCCTGCTGAGTGACGTTAGGCTTTTTACTTATAACCCCAAAATGAAGCATCGCTCTGGCTCTGAAGTCCCAGAGCCTTCTGAACAGCTGAAGCTCCTTCTTTCAGCTTTTATCTGAATGAGTTTGTCAGGAGAGGCAAGAGAAAAATCAGTAGATTAGGAGAAGGGACAGACACAGGAAACAGGGAGTGGAAAGTCTCCTCCTCGATATTCCTTCAGCTGTGCAAAGTAGCATTAAATAAGGCCTATAACTAACAGGGAGGGATCATTTAATGGAAAGGTGCGTGATGTTTTCACCAAAAAGGTTCATTCAGCTACAACGACCGGTAATTCATTTGATATCAAAATATCTCATATACACTGTGACCAAAGAACTTAAATAATTTAACTAACAATTAGAAGGAAAACAAATCAAAACTCCACTAGTTACATCACTTTGTGGCACGCGAACCTCCTTACATAGCATGGGAATGTTGGAATTCAGCTCACAGACTCAATGTTTGCACATTAAATATCACGGTATTTTGTCTCTCATCAGTAAGCATGACACTAACGAATGACATAGAACACTGATGGTGAATGGCAGCTTCTTATCAAACATAGCCACTTCAGCCCTAGACAGTAAGAGATTTTGCAGAGGCTGAAGTAACCATCAAATTACTGGACTGGGAAACAGGAAACAAGAAATGAGAGAACAATGCTCAGATTATTATAAGTTATTTTAACAGTTACAGAACTATGCCACAGTAAACCCAGAATACACAATTTAAGTGGCTCTGAAATATAATTGAAGTGATAACTACCAGTACTTTGTGTTAAATGAAATTACACTATGTGCTTTGACTTAAACTGTAGCATAAGCCCTACTCAGATACGGCAGTTTCAATGAATTTCAGCAAATACGTTTTAAAAGTTCTTACTACTCCTGGAAGAATAAGATAACTTACAATAAAGGCAATAGCAGAAGTGTAGATAGAATACCAGTCTGATAAGGCAGAAAGATTCTTCACAAAATTAGTAACAGGTTTGGCACCTCTCTCTAAACAGAAGGGGAGAAAAAACACAACTGTTAGAATTAGCCGGCAGTGGTTAAATCACTTGTAAACGACAAGCAAAGAAATAAGAAAATTAATAGGAATATTCAAGACATGTCATGATAAAAAGGCTAATTCAAATCAAGAAAAATAAAAGCCACCAATGTAACTGAACGATTAGTTAAGGAACACATTTCCAAAAGCTAAAGTGTTACTCAAGACAAAGATGATGCCTAAACTTTTAAGTATAGACAAAAAAAAAACAAACCAAAAACACACAAAAGAAAACAACAACTCCCCCCCCAAAAAAATCTAAACCAATATCCTTTACAAGGGTACTCCGGCTGCTGACAGCAGTCTGTTCTGAGCCCTGTTCATACTACTCCGAAGACCTTCACACAGGTGAGTTCATCCCACTGTAAAACAATGTGCATCAGCCTGACAGGATTCCAAGCCACTGAGGAACACCTCACTGCTGCTTGACCAAGCTAGGTTAAAACCAGGATAGATCTCTCTTGGCTACGTTTCTGCAGGAGTCTATCCACTGGTAGCACTTCGTTGCTTACTCTTCCTCAGCCAAGAGACACAGGACGTCGCTGTCTGAAGAAGTTTGTCTCAAACCTCTGCAGACTTTTGCTCTCACAGTCACTGCCCAGGAGACAAATCTGTCCCAGAAGAGGCATCGCTCCCACACACAGATGCACACAGCCAGCCAGAGCTCTTCCTCAGCTCCCTAAAAAACATTAAAAACCTAAAAACTAGGACTAGATTTCCTTAAGCATCAGTGGCACAACCAGAGCAGCAGATGAAGTAAGTGGAAGGGCATGCCCAAGGCACTGGAAGTGTTTGCAGACTCAAGCAGTGCTTCCATCAGCTCTGCTCCACAATCCTACACCAAACCTGCAGGAAAGGTCAACACCTGGAAACCACTGGTGACAATAGGCCCTTGAGAGCTCCGGGTGATCGTCAGGCACCCTTGGACAACAGGGATCTAGATCTTGTAGCTCATCTGGTGGAAGTGAAGAACCACTCAAAGCTCAAGTTTAATACTGTTTTTTTTAAAGCGATTCTGAAGGCAATGCACGTCCACCAAGTCACAAGTATTCTCCCAAATGAAACTAGAATGAACACCAGTATTAGAATAAGGAGAACAAAACTGACCTTACATGGAGGTTACGGACCCTTATTTCAACTTCACCTTTTCCCCTACAATTTAGCAATCTGGAGCACAAATCTGCCTTTTTTTTTTTTTTCTCCCAGCAATTCTTTGCTGCAAACAACTTTTGGAAGACTTAACTACTTTGTTTAATCTGCCATCTTCCATCCTGCACCTTCCAAAACAATTTATCAGCTGTTCAAGAGAAACAAACGCAAGACACACTCAGAGTGTGCATTGCCCAACCCCTCTCTCTTTGAAAGTATAAGTTAATAGACCAGCAAGCGAACTACAAGCAGCTCAGGCGTAAGTGTATGAACACAGTTACTTTTGCCATTGGACAAATAACCTGTTTTCATTCATTCCACGTTGTGATGGTTTGATTGGGGGGAGGGGGGGCGGTGCAGTTCTGGTGGCAGTAGCTGGCCACCAGATCGGACTCCCATCCCCCTCGGGGTTTGAGCCAATCGTCTGGTGCGAATTGCCCTATTTACGTTGGGACAAAGGAACCGGAAAGGTGTGCTTTGCCCAGGAGGAGAAAGGGGGAGGAGGGCACTGCCCCAGCTCCCGGCTGAGCGGTGGCCCATGCCGGGCCGGTGTCATCCGCTGAGGATGGCAGCGGTGGAGCTGCTTGGGGAACTCGGGGAGCGCCCCACTCCTGGGGTGTCCACTGGGCCGAGTTCACCTAGAAAGGACTGAGATCTGAGAGAAACGGCCACACAGACACCAGGTCAGTGAGCATGGAGTGGGAGGAGGTGTCCCGGAGCTGAGTTTCCCCTGCAGCTGGTGGCAAGACGGCAGGCGGCCCCCC